GCTTCACTTTTATTGCGCCACAGAAATTCTGTGTTATTTATATTTTTCATGAGTAAAGTTAGGCCATGTTACTGATACTAATTACCTTTCCAAATATGTGATCACTGTAGTTTTGTAATAAAAAATGTATTTAATATTTGTATTTAATTTATGGTTTTGTTGTTGTTATTGCATTAGGACGTTGTGACCTACATAGGTTTTAGGTTTGTATCTTTTACGTTATATTAATCTTTTATGGTTTAATTTTATACCAACCAGGACTTCTGAGAGTAGCAAAACATAAGGGGACAACTGGTCGTACTGTTTATGTATTAGCCTATCAAAGCATATGTCCGAGCTAACAGTACATTTACACAGAATATATCAATTACCATTTCTATTTCCTTTCCTTAAACTCCTTCCTATAACAATGTAAAAGAATGGTGTGTGTGATGGTGTGCATGAAGAAATCTGAAATAATCACAGTCTTATCAGTGTCTACAAATTGCTGATCATGTCTTAACGTGCCAGTATTAATGTCTAGTCATGCTTGTTGCAGTCAGTTCTCACCAAATGAGCAAAGGTTAGAACCAACACCTCACCTTTCCATACCTAGCTTTAGTTTTGTTATTGTTTGCTTTTAGAAAGATATGTTTTATTGTTATTGGCTCCATGTACAGAAAGTACAAGATAATAGAAATTCAGCTTCTCTCTCACCTTAATATAAAAAGAAGACTTAAGAAAAGATAAATGATGTTTAAGGGAATATATAAAAATCAAACCTATGTACAATAGTGGCAGTAGTGCAAGTGCAGTAGCAGACATTTGCATGGACAGTAGTGGAAACGACCAACAGCAGCAGGAATGGCAGTGATGCAAATGGTTGCAGTAAAGTGCCAAAGACAGTCGGCAGCGTTAAAAGATTTGAATGTGTTGATTCCTTATTGAGTGTATTATGTAGAAGCATGCATGCTATAACCCTCCACTTCACAGGCACATCATTTAGAGCAGCTATTCTAACATCAAGGAACACAAGTTGTTGTTTTTCTCCGTGCCATGACCCAGCCCATTCTCAAAACAACTCAAGAATGACAAAGTTATGTAAGGCGTCTCTGATGCAATTACAAAACATCACTGTGCCTTACTTGATCGCACTCGTCAAACGGGACACTTGTCATACCATACATGGACAAAAAATCTACCCCTATCATGTTGTCTATTGTAGCAGATGTTTCGCAACACAACAGACGACCCATAAATCTATAGTTACCATTCCTGTTTTCATAACTCCACGCCTCAACCAACTTCCCCTTACAGGTGAACTTGTTTATCACTGAACACAGTTTACCAATGCGTGTGGCGCTCGAGTAAGAAAGCGGGCAGAAAAAGGCACTGCTGTCACACTGACATGATGCTCGCATTTGGATAAAATGGATTTCGGAGGTTTTTTGGAAGCATATGATGCGATTCCTGGTCAAGGACTTAGCAACAAGTTGCAAACGACAAATGTGATACAAAGTAACAGATACAAGGTACAATATATTTCCTTAAAGGTAAGTATAACGTAAATACAGAAGCTCTAAGTTAAATGTATTAATGGAATTGACATGTTGTCTTATATAGACTTTTGAAACAACCAAATAAATAAATAAACAAATAATTTGGTAGGCTAATTAAAATTCTCTGCAACCATATTTTGAATTACTCCCCCAGTAAAAAGATGTCAGTGGTACCTTTTGTGCTCTATGCTTGTTTTCATGTTCTGAGTCTACTATTGATCGCTTTAGTGAAGTATTTTTTAAAAAGACTTAGTCTACCACCATAATAATGGCTCTGTGGGCCTTCATAGGAGTATTAGCATGTCAAACATCAGCATTAAAGGTGTCCACCGGGAGCTTCTTGTAATGGGTTTTCATGCCTGAGCAGTTCTTATATTTGTAATTTGCAGGTGGCCAAGTGATTTTGTGCATATCCTCCGCATGAATTTGAAGGTATTAAATAAAAATCTGTCCTCAGTAAATTTCATAGAAATCTATTCAGCAGCTTTATGGAATTCTTAAAGCAAAACTTGAAACACTGAGTCACTGAGCATCATTTTTCATATCTCTGGGTTACGTCAGCACGTTATTCTGTTTCTTGTACCTGGAGGGTTTCAGCCTTGACGCCAGACTAACAGGTAGGTTACTTCAGGCCAATGTGATGCTCGGCATCTGACAAGGATCGTTTTAAGGTAAAAGTTCACAGCATTCTTTTTAGCGTTCTTTTTATAGTGCTTGCTGCGATAGAGGCTGGAGGAACCGCTATCGCTTCAATGGGACTCACAGATAGCAAACTGGAATGCAGGCTTCATTGTTGAGCGCTGCAGATAGGCATCAATAAATGGCATTTGATTTAGAGCACTTGGAAAAAGGAGAACTGGCCATAACACAGCTCTACCATGAATGGATTCAAGTTTACAGTGTAATTTTACTTCCTTAAAAGTTTTCTGCTTACTGAGTTTCCAACTACAGAGATGGTCCATCTATCGTTTTTATGAGGCTGCATGACAACCAGGACAGAGGTTACAAAAAATCCTGTAAATAAGAGGGCAACTCTCATAACAATTTGTTCCCAGTGACCACAGAAACCTGTTCTTTGGAACAAAGCCTAATTTCAAGTTTCAGGTTCACTGGAACTGGAATGGCCTTCAGGTCTGGGTCACTCATTGTCCATTTCTATAGCTTCCCCCCCTCCCATCCGTTTCACCTCTCATCCGAGAAGCTTCTTCAGTTCTAAGGTCAAATGGTGGGGAGTCCCAGATATAAACCTAGTGGGAGTTTCCCCCCACAGAGGGACAAAAGGACCCCCTGATGACCCTCTACTGCCTGAGCCAAGGTGTGAAACTGGGTGTGGGTCCCAATCAGCCAGAGTTTTGGGTGAGTTCATTGTGAAATCTGGCCCCACCTTATCATGCGAATTCCTGAGGTCAGATGGCCCAGGATGTGAGTGGGGGTTAAGGCGTCTGGGAAGGGATCTCAAAACTGGATTATAGATGGCAGAGAGTTGGTGTCGTAAACCCCCGCTTCTGTTCAAAGATGGTCGCTCACAGTGGACATAGATGGCCCACACCCAGTTTCACACCTTGGCTCAGGCGATTAGAGGATCATCAGGGGGTCCTTTTGTCCCTCTGTGGGGGGATACTCCCACTAGGTTTATATCTGGGACTCTCCACCATTTGACCTTAGAACTGAAGAAGCTTCTCGGATGAGAGGTGAAACGTCTTCAAGCAACTTAAAGAAGTCCAGACGCTTGTCTTTGCACGCTCCTTTGACTGTCATATTGGAAGTGCAAATTCCTGAATCCTGTCTTGGCTCAGCTGTGAAGAGTGCTGACTTTGACCATTCGAGCAGCTGTTTTGTTAGTGAAGTGTTGCAGTATCTTGGACTGCCCGTTCTCCTGAGGATGCCTTTGTTTGCCAACAATTACTTATAATTACCCCTTCAAAGACTCGCTAATTGGTTTCAGTCACAAGCAGGAGTCGGGGGATTTGAAATAAGAGGCGCCAACTGGTTTTTGAAGAACTGGGTGTGCCTGTATCCACCAGAGCCCCTGGTAATTATGTGGCTAATTGTAAAATCTAAAGAATAATTAGTCTTTGACTGCTGGGGATTGTCATGCTTTGTGTGGTGCCCCATCCTCTCAACTGGGGGAACAAAGAAGCAGTCTCTCCAATGCAACATGGTGCAACATGCCTTTACATGCTCAAGGACTGCAGCTGCACCCCTTCCTGCGGGACGTCTTGGATGGATGCTGAGTCTGTTCTTGCCTCCCGGTGTAACATACGTAGGTGGGTGGGTGCATGTCTGAGATGATCCATTATGTCACCAGAGCCCTAAGAATAGTTTCTGTGTGTCCCGCTAAGGTACTGAGGCAAGTGTGACGTCCAGAACTTAGCTGTTGTTGGGCCAAACCCAGCAGAAACAGAGGCCCTACTGTTTCACAGCGTCAGGCACACCCAGCCGCACACACACACGCACAAATGTACGGACACATGGAACCGTTTAAAGTTTTCCTCTGCCACTGTTCGAAATGCCCCCAGAATAAACACCCAGAGCAGATCTGAACCAGCGAGGCCAACGATCCTCATTAGAGCTGTGACGCAATGCGATGGTAACGAAAGTTAGTGGGTTTCAGATGTTTGCTCAGTGTGGTATTGCACATGTGGTTAAATAAAGAAATGTGAAACTGCTGGAGGAGCACGGTGACACGAAATATCACAACTTTTTCTTTTTTTAGTTTCACCTACTTTTGGAGAATGACAAGAAATATAGCAAGTCTTAATCTTCTTCTTCTCCTTGGATCATCTAGCTCCATATCAACCTCTGTCTAGATTCCAGCAAATGAAAAAAGCAAGACTGACAGAAATAAAATTAAAATTAAAAACAAGCTGTGTGAAATACCTATTTCAAACTGAATATCTATGGATGTTTGACCTTTGCTTGGACGAAATGAGCTCTCTAAAAGTGAGAACCTGGACCAAAAAAGGGAAATTTAGATCATCAGATCATTAATTTCCACATTTCGTGACTAAATGTGCAGGATTATATTTGCATGATAACAAACTGGGTCAGTGGATCAGGTTGCCTGGTTAAATAATGCTGCTTTTGATTACTCTGTGAACTGTAGAGCTTTTTTAAATTGTTGTCACCCATATTCTATATAATGTGAAAATATTATTATTTCTGGAGAAGTGTGTGTAAAAATGACAATGCTTCCCGTTGTGAGAAAAATATAAAAGAAAATCCAGGGTACTTGACCGCCCTGATACTACAGTGAAAATGTAAATAAGTCATAAATTAAGACAACAGTTCTAGTAAGTGAAAGCGGGTCTATTGTTGCCCGCCCCGTCTTGCCTGTAAATCCCTGTCTTATAAATCATCGCTACTGCCCTGTGGCCCCCACCACAGCACCCCCGCTCTGCTCGGACGCAAACGCTCGTTCGCGTGTGACGTGCTCGCGCCTGCGCTGTTTAAAAACGGCGGTCCCACGGGCGCTCGCCTCATCCCACGTTTCAGAGAGCAGAGAAGAGAGGTGCGAGTCAGCCAGTCAGCTCTCTAACCGCACAGAGTTCACACAGAGAGGAGCTTCGGAGTTGCTTTGCGGTTACAGACAGCCGCACAGTTCTGTGCAGGATTGCAGAGTTTCACCTGCCCGAGATCACGGGACGCTACGGTTCACCTGAGCGGCACCAAAACGTCGTTTGCATGAAACTGAAGCCAGGTAAGTTTCACGTCCTAACAAGTAATTTGGTTGTCGTGTAGCGCTCTAAACGATGTATAGAAAACAACAACAGTTTGATAGGTGTTGAAACTCTGCTGGGAATATCTGCTGAGCAAATATAGGAGGGTTTTCTCAGCAAGTTTTAAGCCCAAGTTTGGAGACACGTCGGGTCTAGCCGAACCCCGCAGCAAAATCAGCTCTTTTAGAGTTATCTCGTTTTTTCTAATAATATTCACTTCGCACGCTAACTTTGAGTTATTTTCAATCATCTTTTAGATTTTGGTTGTCAATTCGGCTTGGATGTATTGAGCGAAGAACTGAAGCAACTGCTTACTGACAGTCTTCTGTTCTTATTTTCTACAAACGAAAGTATCACTAAGCCTACGTGCCACTTATTTTGGATGGAGGGTTATTCCGGGCATCTATGAACGTGTTCTGCGTGAAATAAACAGGCTCACATGCTCGGGGTAAATGTAAACAAAATGTTCTTTCCACTTCCAGAGATTGTAGATATTTGCATGAGCTAGTTTTATATTTGCGTGCACGAGAAAACGACAGTGTATTCTGATGCACGTGAAGTGTTACCTGGATGGAAATTTGGGATTACATTTCTCTGATTGTGCGTCAGAGACTTCGGTTAAATGCAAAACTGTGTGTGTGTGTGTGTGTGTGTGTGTGTGTGTGTGTGTGTGTGTGTGTGTGTGTGTGGACCCACACAATTAACTGTACCTGTCCATGTCTTCACTGGTCATATGTAACTGTACCAAAACCTGCAGGTTTGGGCTCTACCTTTGCTGTGCTGTAGGCTGAACCTGCAGCTCTTTCATGAGATGACACACTTTTCATAAGCATGTCATTGTGTTGTGGGAAAAATGCTTAGGTGGGGGGGGATGCAAAGCTGTTTCCTGCGCAGGGGTTTGAGCAACAATGGCCACCACCTTAGAACAGTCGGCGGTTCTCTGTGCGAGTCACTTCTGAGGAGGGAGCTAGGATGTTGAAAGAATGGCCAAGAAAAGGGAGAGGAAAAAATATAAGGAGCAACACAATGGAGAGCAGGCAGCTCTGTCGGTATGTAGGATAGGAGAGACAATGGGTGGCCAGATGTGGTTGCATAAGACTTTTTTATTTTTTATTTCTCTGCAAGATCACAAAAGCCTTTAAGTCCTCCAGAAGTGGTGTAACTGAGTTTGCAATGCACAGTTCGTTTTGAACATGGCCCTAGTGTTTGCCTGTGTCACTTTAGCTTTTTACAGTAATCTTCCATTTGTTCTGGCACGTCTCCCGTTCCATCATTGTGTTTGTTTCTTAAGAGTACAGTGACAGCAAAGCCCAAGGCAAACCTGTCTGTAAATATTTAATGGGTGCTGTCTGTCTGTAGGGACTGAATACTTCACTGACTGTGCAACTTCTGTAACCAAACCTGTTTGGTGACTTTGTCTCTTTCCCATTTGCGAGTTGTGATGACTTGTCTTTTTTTGCATCATAAGTGCAACCTTGTTTTTGTTGCTTAATTTATTAGAAAGTACATAGCCTCTCATTTTGCCTGATTTATCCCCTGCTCGGCTTATCGGTCGTCTCTGGATTTGCTAACGTCACCGTCTTCGTCTGCCTCATTTCAGATAAAAGCAGTGGATGCAGCCACGCTCCATTTAAAGGAGGGTGGAAGATTGGGAGACGCGCTGACGAGAACCCGGTTACGAGTAAAAGTTCCAAGCCCAGCCTGAAACGCATCATGTCCCTCAGCACCTTCCACCTCATGCAGACCCTGAAGAACTCGCCCGCCGAGCTGCGGCGCAGATTCCGCCGCGACCAGACGGAGTCCTTGTCCCACGGCGACCCTCTGTTCAAAGTGCACTACCTGGGGACGGAGAAGATCTTTTCTCTGGACCGGGAGCAAGCAGAGGAGGCCATTTCTCACTTGCTGGAGGGTATCGCGAACGGGAAGAAGCTCAGGAAGGACCACGCCCTTGTCGTGCGGCCCAGATACGTCGAGGTCAAAGAGCTGAGCACGGGTCGGCAGCTCACGAAGACCTACCTGCAGGACATTGCGTACTGCGCCGCCGACACCAACCGGCCCAACGTCTTCTTGTACATCTGCAAGCACCGGGGTCAGCAGCTGCAGTGTCGGGTGTTCTGGTGCAGCCGTGCGGAGCGAGCGCGGGACATGACCGCCTGTCTGGGACTCTCCTTCCAGCGGGCGATGAGCGACTGGCAGCAGACCGGCGTGGCCACGATGCCGTCGGGAGAGGTGAAAGGAAAACTTGCAGAGGACTCGTCCAATTCTCAAGTCAAAGCAAAGAGCTCCACGCTGCCAGCCGGTTTGGGAAAAGGTGAGAATTCAGCACCGCCACATAAAAGTTGAACCAGGAAGACTTTAAACTCAAGCTAGCCTTATTTGGTGCCAACTTACCCAAACAATCACACAGTGTGCCTCTCTCAGATAATGACAACCTAGGCCTGTCTAGAGGCTGGCTTTCACTGTTAATAATTCAGCTGCAGCAGCCAAGCCAACATCCCTGACTCTGTCCTTTTCCTTCACAGTTCGCTGGAGGAAGAGAGGCTCTGTATCCCGCAGCCCCATGAGAACAATCACCAGAAGAGGATCGTCCTCCGACAGCTTGAACTGAAACCTGTTCTTTTTTTTTTTTTTTTTGTTGTGGTCAGATGTGGGACCACTTTATTGACAACCTCGCTGAAGGGAAGAGACTGATTGGAAAAATACAATGAAGACCACAGTGGATGTTAATGAGACATGAGAAAGGTCCATATTTGGATATAAGGACTGGTCATGGGTGGATGCTGCCGTAATCAGTGAGGACTTGGAGATAGGAGATTTTTTTTCTTTTTGACTGGGCAGAGTTGCCTTTGGACTTTTGCAAGCGCAGAGTCCAACCGGGCACAAGATACTGAACTGTGACAGGCCGCAAGGCTGTGTGAGGACTAGACTGGGACATACCCAAACTGTCTGTCATGGGTTTTTAATTTTGTTTTTGGGCTTGTTTGATGTTCTGTTTGATGCTGAAGCCACCAAAGACTTTGATCTGCTGGAAAGAGACAGTTAAACCAACCAAGTACCTGCTCTTGGCCAAACAGTCCCCCGGCAAAACTGGAAAAGCACCACGAGAACCTGGAAGTCTTTTTTTTTTTTTTTTTTTTTCGAGATTTATTTATATTTAAGTGACACATGTGACAGAGTCATGAAGTAGTTATTTTCTTTTTCAGCCTGTTCCATTAATGAGTGTTTGTTTTTTTTCCCCTACTTTTGTAGTTGGATGAACAAATTTAAGACGACTAAGACAATGCAGGCATGTCATACCAAAGTAAAGTTTAGTTTGTTTTTTCCTTTCCCCACCAAGTCTGTGATATGCATAATTAGTCTGAGCACATTCGAGTCCTTTTTAAGATGATCTCACTCAGGAAATTGAAGTTTTATTGATATGAGGTCAGTTCTCAGTGTAATGCATGCCGGAGGGAAAATGGACATTATCAGAATAGAGGTGTTAATAATAATAATAATTTTAAAAAGTCTCTGCTTAACCTGCAAAACAAAAAAAGGTCCTAATTGTCTTTAGCAATAAATAATTAGCATTTATGTGAGGGGCGGGGAAGCCTCAGCAGTGACTTGCTGGTTGTTTGTGTCCCACACTGGGAACACTGTGTTCCTGTGTGAAGCCTGCATGAGGAATGCCGGGCCATGCACCTGCATTCCAAATAGGGGGGGAAACTTGAGATGAAGGGTGGCGGCGCCTTTCTTTCCTAGAAAAACCCCAAATTCTTCTTGTCCATCCGTGACTTTGCATATTGAGCAGCCTTGTCAGTAAACAGCACGCCGTGCTTTTTTTAAATTGCTCCTTCACATCAATAAAAGCCATAAAAGGTGCCGGAGTCCATCTAGAGTGACCGTTCTGGTCACACACGTGTGCCGTGTTGCGTAACTTGTGCCATGATGGTAATTTTTTATCTCTAGGTTTACAAACATGAGCGACAGGAGGATTGTTGATGAAGCCAGAGGTTACTGTTAACTCCATTTTCTGTTTTCTGACCAAAACGAAGCTAAAAATGTCTTTTCTTTTTAAACAGGGAAGGTTTTTTTTTTTTTTTTCCTGACTGATGTGCAACCAGGTTGTTATCGGTTAATTTTAACATGATGTACCTGACTTTTTAATTACAAACGGCACAAGCCTCATCTCAGAAAAGGCGTCGATGTGCCCGCTTTTAAGATGTATTTAACGAGTGTTCTGTTTTTATGTTGTCGTACATATTTAAATATGTATTTTATGGAATATTAAAAGTTTTTTATAAAGCATTTGTTTGCCTGTGCATTTTGTACTCGTACTACTCTGACCCTCGATTCATCATTCTGTTTCCAGGCTTCCAGTTTTAAAATGCTATATTTGGTCTGAAGAAAACCGATTTAAGTATGTGGGAGTGGGTGGAGAGGAAGAGATTGAAGGTTTTAGGGGTTACGGGGCAGCACGTTCAGATGTCCTGGGATTTATTTAGAATTTTAGTCATGTGACTCATTTCCCAGGGTTATTTCTCTAGTTCTTTAAAATTGTTAAAGTCTGACACCTGCAACCAAAGGTGATTCATCTCCATCTGCATGGGTTACTGCAGCGTTTGAGAATTTCATGCCTCACTTTGGAGGAAAAGTGAAGAAGTCCATATATTTTGGAGTTAATTTTCCTAATGATACGGAGCTCCCCGATAGCCTGCTTCTGCTTCCTTCCTATTTTGTACCATGGCATGATTTACAGTTCAAAATAATCCTTATTTCTCTCATACTAGGCTTCGTGCAGCCCCTCACCTCATCCTCTGCACCAACAAGATACTTTAGCCCCTCCCCCTTTAAGCCATCTTTCTCTTGATTGGCTGCCCCTTGCAAACAGAAGCACCAAGCACATAGAGCACTCTGATTTCTGAGCTTTTGGCTCACAAGGATTACTAGTTTTTTGGGTTTTTTTGTTTTGTTTAGTTTTGTTTTTGTTCCTACATTAATAAAAGGCCAGCTTGATGTAGCTCACAGTATATGCAAACAATCAGAATCACTCTTCTGCAGAAGAGCCGTGCACCGCGGCGCTGCCGGAGCTCTCTCTAAGTCGCTGCAACTCGAGCAGGGAGTGTACATGAAGACGCCTGAGAGGCTTCACCTCTTCCACCACTGAAAGGAAGAACAAAACAAAACATCGTCACGGACACTCAGCAATGCTCTTAAATGATTATGTATCCAAGCTAAGTATGTTAGGAGAAAGGCTTCAGGTTTCATGCCTTTAAAATATAGCTAAACAGCACCACCTGCTGGTATAGTAAACCAAGAGTGATAAAGGTTCGCACCTTTATCATAATGCAACTCGTCCCGGTTGCCGTAAACCACGTACATCTCCAGGAAGTTAAGGAGAGCTCCCGTGACAAGAAAGCGTTCGGCGAGAGGAAGACTTTTGATGTAACGCATGTCCAGGGCGAACGGGTTGGACGGAGAGGGAACGGTGCAGAGGCACACCAGCTCACTGACAACGTCCCACACACGAATTGCTGACGAAGGACAAAAGAAAGAAAAGTTTGATGTTTTTATTGTGAGATGTCATGCACTGCACATAAACATATATGCATTAACCAAAGCACTAGGAGCCTTTTTCCACGGCCCTAATCCACCGTAAATACTGATCTCCGCGAGGCTCGAGCTGCAGCACAGACACATCTGCATCTGATTTAGCTCATGGAAAATGGTGTAATTATTGAATCAGTGCACTGAAACAATAACTTTCTCCTGTTAGGATTCCACACATTGTTTCCATACCTCGCGTCTGCCAGTCTGCAATGGACTTGAGTTTCATGGGCGTGTCTTTGACCATCGAATCTGTGCCACCGATGTTGACTAGGCGCTCGTGATTGGAGCGTATCCACGCGTAGGGGCGTCCGTATTTGACGTAGCCGGCCAATAGAAACAGAGTGCAGTTGACCTCCTGTTAGAGGGGGACAAAGTGTGGGCTGCGAGGCTGAGTGAGCAATTTAAATAACAGAGGCCTCCTTGCAGGTACTTACGGGTACTGCTATCTCCCTTTCACTGGGAGATGCTGGGAGAAGATGCTCCTCGATGCAGGCCTCCCTGTGACTGCAGAAAGAGCTCCAATGATTTATCAGTTTCATGCAAACCTGGAGAGCCAGTAGGAAGTTTCTACTCATACTTCCACATCTAAATCCTCTTACATGTATCATTTTTTACCCAGTTAGGAGGAGATTACTTTCCACAATGCACAATAAAAAATATTACAATTCTTAAAGTGCCTCAAACAACCCAAGCTGCCCTCTGACCCAAGCACATACGTGTTACTATCCACACGCACACACAAACTTGCAGTCAATCACCTGGCAGTCTGTGGCTGTGTCTTGGTATGTGACCGGGAGCCTCGTGGGCCCGGAGGCTCCCCGGGCAGGGGGGAGCTGCTATGGCTGGTCAGACTGGGAGAGCTGCTGCTGGGAGAGACATCACTGCTGTTACAGCTGCTGGTGGAGGAGTAGGAGGAGGCTCTGGACACCATAAAGCCTGGGGAACGCCAACCCTGCGAACAAAAATAAAGGGAAGGGGAGAGAAAGCTGCTGTAGAAGTCATAGATGTGCCCTAGATAAGACAGTGAGACTGGGGAGGTGTGTGAATGTTTCACTTGGACTGTACTGCCAAAAGTATTCACTCACCCATCCAAACCATTGAATTTTGTAAAAATCGAGCACCTAGGCATGCAGATTGCTTCTACAAACATCTGTGAAAGAATGGCTCACTCTCAGATCAGTGAATTCCAGCTTGGTACTGTGATAGGATGTCACCTGTGCAACCAGGCCAGTTGTGATATTTCCACACTACTAAATATTCCACAGTCAAGTGTTAGTGGTATTATAACAAAGTGGAAGTGGAAGAGCGGGTTCAACGAATGACCTCTGCACACCAACTTTCTGCAGAGTTAAGACGCGTTCTGTGGAGTGGCGATTCACGCTTCTCCGTCTGGCAATCTGATGGATGAGTCTGGGGCTGGTGATTGCCAGGAGATGGTACTCGATGGTGTCTGACTGCACTGTGCCAAATTTAAAGTTTGGTGGAGGGGACAATTTCATGCTTCCAACTTTGTGGGAACAGTTTGAGGATGGCCCCTTCCTGGCCCAACCTGACTGCACACCAGTGCATGAAGCAAGGTCCATAAAGACATGGATGAGAGAGTTTGGTGTGGAAGAACTTGACTGGCCTGCACAGAGTCCTGACCTTAACCCGACTGAATACCGTTGGGGTTAATCAGAGAGGAGACTGTGAGCCAGGCAGTGTCTGACCTCACAAATGTGCATCAGGAAGAACTGTCAAAAATTCCCATAAACACTCCTGAACCTTGTGGAAAGCCTTCCCAGAAGAGTTGAAGGTGTTATAGCTGCAAAGGGTGGATTGACATCATTTTAACTGCTAGGGCTTTAGAACAGGATGACACTCAAGCTCATATGCCTGTGAAGACAGATGAGCAAATACCTTTTGGCAGTATAGTCTATATAATCACCCAGTTTCTCTACAGAAACTCACCAGATCCTCATTAACAACTGTCAGCAGCAACTCCTCTTTCCCCCTGAGCCAAGGCTGGAAGTATTTAAAACCCTGCAAAGGAAGCAATGTGATTTTGTGATTTTGCGAGAGGTGAGCCGAGCGTGCACGCGCATGCTGGTGTGGCCAAACCTGCAAGGATCCGAGCAAAGCAAGGTCACCGAGGAAGTGCTGCAGTTTCCTCTTCTGCTCCCTCTCTCGTTTCTGTTCACACATGCACACAGACAGCACAGCGATCTGAACATAACGATAAAAATGACGGCACCACTCCAGCGGGCATCAGCACCCTCTCCCTGCCTGGTATCATAGCAACACTTGCAACGCCTCCTCCTCCTCACCCTGCAGGAGCACCCTGCACCCCCATCAATATTAGTGACAATAAACCCTCCGTTTGTGAAATGAGTCAAAGCACGGACACATGCTGAGAACAAAGAGTGGCATGCTGATATAAAAATGGATCGGGCTGCTCTAAAATCGCACCGATTCACAAACCCCTCACAGCTCATCGTGAGGGAAACGATACTCACACCGGAGCTGCTCATCTTAGGCCAAACTGCGGACGTCGTCGTCTCCCTCACAGGCGCGCACGCTGTGTTTCTATAAGCTGCTGCATGTCAGCATTGAGCCGTGTATTCTGCTGCTTAACGCCACTTCGTTTCTGGATGAACGCTTACAGATTTGCACAAAGAGCCTCGGCTTTCAGCGGGTGTTGCCTTTCTTGGTCTGTCAGTAGCATCAATTTGGGGGAAACGAAGCCCCTAGCGGCCGTATCTGCGTACTGCAAGTAAGCTATAACTTTATAGAACTGATGCTTGAAACACACAAAAATAACTTAACTCAGTGGTCAGTTCATTAGGTACACCCTTTCGACTGATTGTTAATATGTAAGTATCTAATTAGCCAATCACATGGCAGCAACAGAATAGGTTTAGACATGCAGTTATGGTCATGGTGAGCTGCTGAAGTTCAAACTGAGAATCTAAAGGGGATTTAAGTGACTCTAAACATGTCACGGTTGTTGGTCAGAACTGCTGATCTGCAGAAGCACTGGACATTTTCTCTGGAAGGAAATGTTTTGTTGATGCCAGAAGTCAGAGGAAAACACACAAAGGCACTACACATGGGCTACAGGACTTATGTAAGAGTGAAGTCAGACATTTGAACCAAAACAATCATTTTATTCTGATTCAACAGGCACAGCAAATTCACATCTGATCAACAAATCAACACATGTGCAAAAAGAGCATTAGTGAACAGTGCAGCAAAGGATAAAGAGGCTTTATATTGTGCTGCTGTGATTTAGCTAAAGCTTGGTGATCTTCACAGAAGACAAAGGAAAGCTCAGCCTAAAAGTTCCTGGAGACAAAGTGAACAAAGAAGGTCCTGATCTCTTTGGGGGAGATGGTCACAGTGAAATTGTCATCCCGTGTCCGCTGCTGTTTGTTGTCTGAAGGAGAGAGAAAGCAAAAATGGGTGAAGGGATTATTTTTGTTTTGTTTTTTTATAAAAACTGAATCGGTTCAGATATATTCTGTGTTTCTCACCGTTTTCCAAGTTATCTGCAGTTTTCCACTTCCACCTCTGCAGACTGGCGACATCCCAGGTCCCTGTCAGAGAACGCTCCTCCACACCCTTCACTTCGCCCATGCCTTGCAGAGCTTCCTGTTCACCGTTGTAAAAACACAAAATAAACAAGAGTCAAAAAAAAAATGAAAATCGCAACTTTTTTCATTTGTCAGTATGAAATTTTCTTTTTATCTGCACCTTTAAGTTTATGGTGACCGGCTTCGAAAGCTCGGGGTCCTCTCCCTCTTCGAAGAGATGCATAATTCTCAACAGGATCCGATCATAGTCTGGCTGCGAGTGCAAATCTTTACCTGGATGCAGGCCACACGGAAATTAAATCAAACAGTGGAAATCTGCAAAACGGTAATAAAAACTAGCCCGCAGTTTCTCACAGCTGACCTGACTGTATGTGGCTGAGGTGAACGCTGTGATTGGAGCAGTAGTTCCACCCGGGGACGCTGAGGCTGAGCAGGTGGAGGTTGGGCGGCAGAACAACCGAACGCAACGGAGAACCACGCTTGGGCTCCTTCACCTGCCAGGGCTTCTCTGAGTGTACAAGAGTTTGAGAAGTGGTGTGAAAGGTTGAAATTAAGCTGCTTGTATGGACATTTTACTGACGTGACAATGAAAACCACAGATGAGGATGATGACTCGCAGGGTTGTACTAGTGGCCCACCACTGCCTGTGGTAAGCACTTACGAGGCTGGTCTATGGGCATGACGACAGGTCTGTGCTGCAGCTGCACTGCCTCCCTTTGGTACAGCTTCGAGGTGGCACTCACAGAGCCCAGCATCATCCACAGCGTGGGCCTCACAACAGAGCTGTCATTTAGAGTCAGGTTGTACCCGAGGTTCCACTGCAAGTTGTTCCAAAGCCGGCGATGGAGCATGACCTGGAGCAGAAGACGAGATGTTAGGTTGCCTTCTGGGTGAAGGGGCTGCCCGGCCAGCTTGTTTGCACGTCTTTTTGTTTTCTATACCTCCAGCTGTCCGTCAGTTTGGCTCGACACACCGTGAGCTCTGTCGCTGACGAGCACCAGCCTGCTGAGGTCATCCTCAATGTAAGCCGTGCGCACCATAGGGAAGTAGTTCTGCAAAACGTGTCGCATATAGATTATTCGACATGTTGCGCTAGAATGTCTCAAGAAAGGCATTCCTGAAAACACCTACTCGTGCTAAAGTGTTGTTTGTGAATTTCCTGTATGTCCTCTTCATCATCTGATAGCCATTGTCGTCCGAGTACAGAGTCCTGTTGTTCTTCACCGAGGTGCTGGTCCTGAGTACGACCTCTGTGTTGAGGCTGAGTGGGCCCAGAGAGTAGGTCTGCTCCAGCCTGTGACACGGCAGCTTGGTCCCAAAGCATTCTGGGACACGAGTGGTAATGGAGTAGGCGTAGTCTTTATCGCTCTCCTCTCTAGAACACGGAAGATTTCAAAATGTGAGCATGATCATAACAACTAGTGGTACTTTTAGCAGTAAGAGAAGAGCAAGATAACTCCCATAACAAAAAGTATAACCTACGTAAATAGACGATAAACTACTCGTCACTCTTGCTCACCTGTAGAAGTACTGCCTGATCTCAGTGACAATCTTCCCTGGGATTATCTCCATTTCCACAGCCTTGTAGGCCCGCACAGCTGAACCATTAGCGCTGAAGATGTAGTTATCAGAAATTGGCCCTGCTTTTACGTCTCCATTGGCATCATATTCCCAGAAATCCTGTGTGATCATTACTCTCCTTTTCTCCTCACTGCCGTGGATGAAAAGAGTTGAAGAAACGCGTGAAAACAACTTCTGTTCATTGAAGTATGACAGCTGAACAAGAGTTATGGACTGATGGAGGCTTAAACTCTTACAGATAGGTGATGCTGTGCAGTAGATTGGTGTCCTGGTCGAACAAGAGTTCGTAACATTCGCTGAGAACAGGAAGTAGTCGCCTCCCTGCTTTCGCCCGGTCCTTCACGCCGCGTCTCTCGAACGAAGCGGCCTTAGCTTCATAAGCCTTGGAATTCTCTGGGAATTTAATTAAGTATTTCCTGTACTGAAGGCCTCCAAGTTCCACTACGATGAAAAGGTCGTAGGTCGCATTGGAGTGTGCTGACCCCTGGATCTGAATGAGAGAGGGGAAGAGTTGAGATTAATACATACAAATGCAGATAAAACTGCTCATTTAGGAAAAATTAATCACTTGACTCTTAGTTGGTCCGATATAATTAAAGAGGACTTGATGGCTGATGCTGCCAGCTTTAGCTATGCAGATGCTTCTATAGGTACTGATACACTCTGCATTAGCATTGTTTACTATCAACATACGGTACTGTGCAAAAGTGTTGAGTGACTCCTCAAAGAGATATTAGCAGAAAACTTGGCACATCTCAACGTGATATCTTAAAGAATGTGAGGAAACTAATAAATGCAGGACAAAGGCCTTAAAAGCTTTCAGCAAGATGAAGAGTATCTGGAAATTACATCCTTAAGAAATATGCAAAAACCCCAGTAAAGACTTTTTAGAGCACCCGAGAGATGCATCAGGACCAGCAGGTACTCCATCTATTGTAAAAGTGATGATACTGCATTTTCATGCATGTTTGCACATTTCTGTAAATCTCTGCACATATTTCCCATTCACCTATCAACATATAAAGAAACCATCAAAACAACAGTACCTGCGCAGGGACGGGCTGTCCATCATCATCAAACACGGCAGCGCTCGGCTGCGTCACGGTTACATTGACGATTGTGGTGATGTTCCACGCCAAAGGGTTATAAACGATGACATGCTGCTCCAAAGCCTGATCAACATCTGCTGCAGAGCAAATCGATGAGCAGTTTACTTCCTTTTCGACTTTTACATGCGAAGACATGCACTGGCTAAAGCGCTCTGTTTAGCTCAGTTAATTTCAGTTAATTACTATAAAAACTTTTTTTTTTCTTAAAGTGGAAGCACTGCAGAAATATCAGATTATTGAAACCTTTTGTAGGGTAGCGCTCGCCAAGGGTGCTGGGACTCATGAGGTTGTGGGGCAACAGAAAAAGAGCAGCTAGGAGCTCCTCTGCTCCCATCATGGCCTGCAGGAGATGCTGCAGGTACATGTCAGCCACTTTGGGAGACTCCGTGCCAGTGATGCCATCGTGATGCTGCACCTGGAATACCAAACCACTCCAAACTGAATGTTCGAACTTAATTACAGAGAAGTATTTAGCATGATGATTGCTTTGCCTTCTAATCCGTATATATTTATTGGACCTTCAATGTTATGCAGTATTTGTTATTTCACTATTTTTCAGGAGTACCTCGGAAACAGCCCAGCGCAGCGCTCTGAGTTTGTCCAGGGCCCAGTCCTTGGCCACAGGTCCATCTGGGAAGCTGATTCGGTAGCGGGCGAAGAGGGTCTCTGCTGCGTACAGCTTTGAGCTGGCCTGTCGCGCCACGCCTTTCAGGACGTTTCTGGAGGCGTAAAACCCCGTCCACGCCTGGTAGGGCTCTAAAAAGTGCGACACATTTCCAATTTACATGAAGTTTGTACGAGACAGCGTGTCGTGTTTTCAAATACACAGTACTTTATGTGAAGAGGACCTCTTCACCGTTTCGTGTTAGGATATCGATTTCTTACCAGTTGAATAAGGCAGGAAGTCTTCACTCCCACGCACCTCCCAGGTTAGATTTGATTGGTAGATGGCTTGGAAGTATTCACTCAGAGTGGCGTACTGGACTGTTACCCCAAACTCTTTGCTGTTCTGGTTGATGTACTTCATCAGAGGGTCCATGTTGTTAAACTGTACTGATGAGTTGTAGAACTGCTTGTCACAGCCCTAAAACGGGACGATCGCACACATCAGTAGGCTGTTTCACAAAACTAACTCCTACATTTTGTCCCGAACCTTAGATACGTTTACCATAGACTGTATATAAAAGATGGACACTTCCACAGTAGAGTCGTACTTTGAAACTTCGTTTTGAAGTTTCCCATTTTTTCTTTGTAACAGATCATATTTGGAAAAGAGAGTGAAGTGGTAAGTCATCAGCTAACAATATCTAGCTTGATTAGGGTCATAGTCTCTCTGAACAAATAAAAGATTGCTTCTTTTATGGTTTATTGGTGCCGGTACCCACACCAAGCAACATTATTTCTCAGATAACATCTTTAAAAACAAGAAAAGAAGTTCTTTAGCTTTGTATTGCAAGCTTTAAATATGCTTCTAACCCAAAGTTTAACATTTCTACAAAGAGGTTCTCACTTTTTGGAGCTTGCCTTTTTTGGGGGCTTTAGACGAACTGCATTTCATCCCTTAAGGTTGTTACTTGGATTTGATACAAGATGGATGGATGGACGGGTGGATGATTTACAGTTCTTTTTGACTTACCCATGGCCAAAGCACATGATGAGTTCTAAACCACGCTGCTCTCTGCTTGATGTTCTCCACCATAGTCTTGGCGTAAGCATGGACTGTCTCCTTGATCACAGGTAGGCTCATGTTGGGGTAAATTCCATCTTTAGGTGGGTCCGGAAACAAGGCAACTCCATTCCAATAGAAACCAGACCTGAGACATAAGAGGAAGAACAAGAATAGTTATTAAAGATATACCGTATTAATGACGACCACAAATGTAACATAAGGCACCAGAGAAGCTAAAAATGAAGCACCGGTTGGAGAATGGCAGGTAGGATGGAGTGCAATAGCTGAACTGGTCCATGGTGTGAGTGAAGATCTCTTGCTGTGATTTCAAAGAGGGAGAGCCTCGCCATACAAACTGCAGTTTCTGTGTTGGAAAACATAAAACTAGATTAGCTATAAATATTTGGAGCACAGATTGAGACGACCGTGTGACTGTTGTTTTTATGCTGCGCTACCTTGTTTTTCTGCATGGTATCCTTAAGGTCATAGTCAATGCGAGAGATGAGATGTGCATTGAATCCAGCCAGGGCAAACAGTACAGGGGTGGTGGCAGAGGCTCCGAAAGGATCCACATGCCATGAGAACTGAGGACGCACCCCAAACGTCTCATACAGGAAGCCGTGACCCTCTGAAACAGCAGGGAGGTTCTCAGTTACTGTGGATTTTTCCTTCCCGCTGTCACCAAGCGCTTACTTATATGCTGTCACTTGATCATTGGGGTTTTCTCACTATTACTCTAGGGTCGTTACCTTACAATATAAGGCACCTTGAGGTGACTGTTGTTGTGACTGTGGTGTTATATAAATAAATAAAACTAAACTGTACACACCCCTGTTAAAATCTCAGGTTTTTGTGATGGTTTATTGTGGTCTTATTTTTATTTTAACAACAGAAACCTGATATTTTAACAGGAATTGTTCACATTTTTAGAACCACTGTAAGTTATTGCTGCAGCTGTGGACTGAAGGAGCAGGAAGTGTGTGGCGTTACCCATCATCTGCAAGATGTCATCGTCCAGGTCAGTTACAGCCTCATCGTGCATCACTTGACCTCCGATGATGAACTCAAGACGACCTTCTTTGATAAGCTGTCGTACCTGGAGAGAAAGAGAGAGGAGTTTGCACAAAAACCACAGCAGGGTTAATCTAAGAGAAAACAGCTGGGATGTTTAATTTCTGGGGCATTATCGTGTACCCTCCATAGTCACGTAGCCGTGAATATATATCCTCACCTGTTTCTTTTGTGTGACCGAGGCCACGGTGTCCCACCAGAGACGGAAAAACTCCTGCTCCACAGCGATGAACCTGCGCTCTTTAACCTTTGACAGCTCCTCAGTCACACTGCTGTACACATTAGCTGCATAGGCGTGCATACTCTCCTGCTCTCACATTTATAAACACATTTACCCAGATTAAAGCCCAATCTGCGCGTTATATGCATCTCAACTTTTTAGCCGGGTTAAAGACACCTACCTGGATAGTGTACACCCAGCCAACATCCATGTGACTGTGAGGGATCACAAAGGTCTGAATCGGCTCTTCTTGCCCTGCCACTCCATGCGAGAACCAGCAGCAAACAGCAAACACGACAGCCGCTACAAATCCCATCTTTGAATCCCATACGAGAGAAGACGGCTTAGATAACTTGGCTGACTTCCTTATTATTGTTGTGCTGCGGCATGTGACTGTGACGACGGAAGCCCAGACAGGCCAAACCGCCGACTTGTCGTGTCGCCTTTTTTTTTAAAGGCACCAGTGACCTTTTCACCGGAAGCAGTCAGTGTAAACAGTGCGCACATTTGGAGGTGAGAGCGATATTTTTCTACCCAGCAGAGAAAATGTCTAAAAACACGAAAATAATGTTGGTGTTTGGAGGGTTTGTGACGGCCGTTGCTGCTGCGTTTTACCCCATATTTTTTTACCCCCTCACACACAAAGACGAGTACAGTAAGTTGTCTTTCTTTGCTTTCATTTAGTTACACAATTAGTTTAGAAAGCCTGGCCTAATGTCGTTTACAATTCTCCTTAGTTACGGCTGAGCTAAATGTCATTTTACTCCACAAATGATAAGCAGTCCGTGTAGGTTTGTTTAGCTTAGCTAGCATAAAGAGTGCCATTGAGGTAACTCATTTAATATAACACATACATTCAGTTAGAGCGCCTGTTAAGAGTCAAAGGTGATAATAAACATTATTTGACTTGAATAAATCCAGCTACTACATTAATACTGCTACATTTCTTCCCTGTTTTAAAGGAAGTTGTGTCAGCTAAGACAAATATAGTCCTTATCAGGTACATGGAGAGCTGTCGTCCTGACATACATGGGACACGAAGACAGTAAAGACTGGTAATAACCAGCTGTAGTGTTTAAAAAAAACAAAGGAAATTGTTTATATCAGTGACTTTAGCTGCAAGTTGTTGTTGTTTTGGGTTTTTGTTTTTTTTAACAGATTTACCCAAATTGCTCTGTTATTCTGTCCTTGCTAGGAGAAGTCCAAAAGGTGAACCGGGCAGGGATCAACCAGGCAGATGTGCAGCCTGCGGGTAAGTGTGAGCTGTTATCAGCTTGTTTGTACAGCTTGCATACTGTACATACAAATTCATGAATTACAACATATATCTTAAGAGTAAAGGGGATCGCTATTGTTATATTTTCTCTCTAGTACAGTACTGTGCAACGGTCTTAAAACACTCCTCATTTCTTTATATTTTGCAACGAAAATGGGAAACGGCTTCAGTAAGTTATTGTGCAAACATACATGGAATTACAGTATATAAAGGCAAAAACAGAGTTTGTACAATCCTAATGAGTTTGAAAGTCACTATTTGGTATGACCACCTTTATTCTTCATCACAGCCTGAACACTCTTACGCAATTCAATTTTATTTATATAGCGCTAAATCACAACAGCAGTTGCCTCAAGTTAGCTTTCTTGTCGTTTCTTTAAGTAGTCTTCAAGAATAGTTCTCCAGGCTTCTTGAAGGACATTTAAAGCTCTTCTTTGGATGTTTCTGCCTTTTGTTCTGTTGTCTGTTAAGATGATCTCACACTGCTTCAACGATGTTGAGGTCCAGCATCTGGAGAGGCCAATCCATGACTGATAGACTGATTATTATTAATGAGAGCTCTCTGTCTCTGTGTCTCTTTTTTTGTCTGAAGGTATGAAGATATGGTCTGATCCATTCAAGGCTGCAAGCAAATGATGACCACAGTGACCCCTTCACTGAGACGCTGCTGCAGACTCTGAGTACAGAGTGTCTTTTTGATATGTGCTTGGTGTGTGTGTGTGTGTGTGAGTGAATGACTGTTGAGTGTTAAGTTACCTGTTAAATAAACTATAATCGACTACTTAAGAACCCAAACGTGGATATCTTTTTATTATATTGTGTTTAGATGGAGGACGGCTAGCTACACAGAAGCAATGGCTGTTTTGTTTTTACCCTAAATTCAACCTAGAGCCACCTGCTGGTCTCCTGTTGCCCACATGAGGGCGCACCACTCCTGTGTGTTCCCGCTAAAGGCAGTGGACTGTGTAATGTCTTGTTTGTGCATCTGAGATATTTTGGAAAAACCATTGTATTTCCAAAAAAGCTTTGCTCTGGTATGCAGCCTGTAGGAAATTATAATAAAATGCAGTGGTTTGTTTACCCATCTCATTCACAGGAATCCCTTTTGACATTTTATTTTGATTTAGTTGATGTGAGAGTCATTAAATCGGTTCAGCAGATGAGGGACAATGTCCAGAAATGTGCGGTATCATCTTCCAAAATGGAAACAGTAGAGACGGAGTTATTCCAGGACACATCGCTGTATTATCATTTCCCTGTCACGCAGGCGGGGTTTAACTGTTGCTGTTTAAATGACATGTGACCGGCTATGTTTTGCCCATAGGCTGAAAGGACGGGGCACGGCTCCACCATCGTCTTGTTCAAATCCTACTCGATGTGATCCAGACTGGCTTTACGAGTCCACGGGTGCTGTAAAAGCAGAGAATTCCAAAACTGCCATTTTTTTCCCCCTCCTGTACTTTTGTGGTTTCCTGACATTGACCAGCTTCCCCCTTTCAGAGTTTGGTCCATCAAAGTCCTTCTGGAAGAAAGATAGATTAAGAAAGAACTAAAGCATGTGTTTATGATCCTTCAGAGATGGGGCATATTTAAAGTTGCCCTTAAATCTTTCACAGTCCTCGATGTAGCCTGTACTTTCGAGCTTTTAGGGCCATTCGCGAGGCCCGCTGCCAGCAAAACTGACAGCGCAGGCCAGCAACGGCCACTCTCCTTCACAACCCCCAAATCAACAAGCCCCATTGTTTATGAGAGGTTGTTATTGTTGGGCTGCATTCAGAAACAAGAGAAAACTCAAGAGCCCGTCTGTGCAGAGGCGTCCAAAGTAAAGAGAGCGAAAGGAGTGAGGGGGTGGTTAAGGAAAAACGAAAAGCAGAAATTCCTCTCATTCCCCACTGGTGTTTTCCAGATTCCTCAAGCGACAGCTCCTCGGCTGTGCGAGTGAAGTAAGCAGGCAGAGGGGGAAATTGAAGCAAACGGCGAGAGGAAGAGAACCACATTCTTGAGGGGACGCGTCACCTACACGCAGAATAGAAAGACACTCGATCTCTGTTTCTTGCCTGGCAGTGTGTAACAGGTTGTGCAGCATGTACCAGGCTTTTATGGCTGCTTGTTGTGGAGTCCTCTTTATGCTGCCCTTATCCCATGATAGACACCCTTCTCTATAAAACGTTCAGCAGGGTCACAGCGCACTATAAACCAACATGAGCTCAACAATGTCGCCTCTGCAGTGCTTTTACTATCCCGCTATTAACCCATCACACAAATCTCTCTCAGCTATTGAGGGGGTTTAGGAAAGTGGTGGCACGCCGTCGGCCGCTCTGAGCACTTTGTTAAGCCCGAGTTTGAGAGCGGCCGATAATTGGCCAAGGTTTCTAACTAATTGCCATGGGAACAAGGGTCGACAGACAGGTCAAGGGGTTGCAGCGGCAGCAGCAGTGTTCGGGAAAGGGTGGAGAAGTATGTAAAATACGAGCGGCGAACACCTCGTACTATATCGAGTGTGGAAAACCGGAGCGAGAACATCAGAAAGCTCTCAGAGCGTCGCGATGGCACATATGACGACACAACTGTGGTATTTGTTTCTCTTTCAGGAAGTGTGACATTTTGGGAAGATGACTCCTGTCAAATGTTTCGCAGTTTATGCAGTACACGAGTAAACAAAGACGCTTACAACTCAGTCGAACCTCCTTGCAACTAGGAAAAATCGGTGGTTGCACAGTGATTGTTTGAATTTGTTCAGGTTCGGCAAATTGCAAATAGCTGCAGCACCCAACTGACTGTCCAAAGGTTGAGCATGCAACTGCCTCAACCTCTGGATGACCGTTTTTTGAAGAGGTTAACTGGTGGGAGGCAACCTGTCTCCAAACAATTGGAGTCCAAGTTGGACTGACTGTTATCACTCTCAGACAGACTGGTAAATGATTGCCAGTAATTGCTTTTTAATTCATAAATACAGATTGCCAACACATTGCGATCAGTCTGAGTTTGTCTGCAACTTGACTTGATTAGTTAGCAACTTAGCTAACTTTCCATATCGTTAGCTTCATAGCATAAGTGCCTAAGTCATTTTTTTGTGTTTTGTGTTTCAGACGGACAGGATGATGCAGCAGTGGTAGGGGAGTAAAGTTAGGCAAAAATCTCAATTTGACCAAAAAATGACTTAGGCACTTATGCTATGAAGCTAACGATATGTTGGTAATGGTAGTGTACACTGCATACAGATCAGTTGAGCAGTTACTAAATTTCACCAAAGATGATGCCAAATGTGAAAGGACAAGAATCTCCTTGCCAGATTATCACTTAAAAATAAATGTATCACACACTGGTACAAAAATACCCCCACAGTTAGCTTTATCGCACAAAATAAACAGCATCTACATTTCACATCTCGCATATGCCGCTAAGCCTCGTAAAACAATGTACCCGAGTGCTGTCCGCATTCTTGGGTCAGCAGGCGCACGGCTGTGGAAACAGATAGTAAGTCTGAAGCAACGTCTAGGAGAAAAGACGCAGGACCGGCCCACAGCATGCCGGCAGAGCAAACTGTCCCATGGACACCAAGACCTGTGAGCTAGTGTTACGTTTATTGCATGCAGGAGTGTATATGTATGTGTGTGCATGCATCTTTCAAGAAAGAAAGCAAAGAAGTTCAGCTAAGAGGAACCCAGAATCCCCCTGAGACTAAACTGTGGTTGTGGAACTTACTGGAACTCCAAACATCTTGTGTGTGCTTTTGTATTATGTTCTTTTTTGCCCCAAGCAGGACCACAAATCGATAATTATGGTTTGTTTTAGGTTGCATCCCCTTTGCCCAGTCGTGAAGGCATTGCAGTTCATTGCTGCGGTGTGTCAGTTCTTAGTTAAAAGGGGACGGTGGGGTTGTGTGCAGAGAGCCAATGGTAAAATAGAGATGATGCAAAGATGCATTGTCTTTGCATCATGTGTGCTTCTTGTTTCCTGCTGCAATCTTACAGGAACTGGTTATAAACAGACTGCATGGCCGTTTGGCCACCCAGCAGTGCACGTGTGAAAACATGTTCTGTGGTTTTTGCCACTTGCAGTCTGTTATTAGCCGAACTCATTACAAACATTCATGTAGTAATTAGTAACAGTTACATTTTGTGGCATGGTAATTTTCACATTATTCAGAGTAGTCATTAGCACAATTCATGCTTTCAACTTAAATGCACTTCAGTCATCCTGAGCTTTTTTTTAAACATAATGACGAGTTTTAGCCATGTTTAAAAACAGTGTGCGCCTCCAACCTGACCCCTCCTTACAAAGACACCATTTTTAACTTCAATATATTTAATGAAGCCATGCGCAATTTAATCTTTGTATCAGTGACAGGCCTGAAAAGTACATAAGGGTTGGGGGAAATCTGGTGCTTTTGATTCGTCTTATTGTTTCCAGCAGTTTTTGAGGCCTCGTAACGTACATGAGTGTTGAGGCATGACATTTTCAGAGCTCACAGTTTCTCAGCTCTGCTACAAACTGCAACCAAATCAATTTTACATCCACTTTAACTGTCACAGTCCAAAGCAAGAAATCTTGTTTTTTTTTTCAGAACTTTTTTTTGTTTTTCTGTAATCAGCAAGAAGGTCCTGGGTTTGAATCCACTATCTTCACGTGTAATTTCTATGTGGAGTTTGCATATTTTCCCTGTGTTTGTGTGGGTTTTCTCCGGGTACTCCAGCTTCCTCTCACAGTACACTTAGTAGGGTTAGGTTAATTTGTGATTTTAAATTGCCAAAAGGTGTGAATGTGTTGTGTGTTAGTCCTGCAACAGACTGGTGACCTCTCCAGGGTGTACCCCGCTTCTCAGCCCATTGTATAAGTGGAAGAAACTGGCTCGATGGATGGATGGACCAGCTTTGAGCATCAGTATCATTGGATGAATAACAGTTTCAATGGCAAAACTGCACTAATTCAATATCTGGGATGATCTCTTATCCAATAATTCACCAATGACGACTTCAAAAAGCATTTTGGAGCAAAGCTTCGAGGGTACATTTCACCATGTGGGGATAGCTAACTTGTCTAAACAATGCTCCCTAGAGTATGAATCTGCATAAACCTATGATCCATCCACCCATTTATTTTCTTAACTGTTTATGAGATTTAGGGTTCACAAAGAATTTGCAAACATAAACTGACATTACTGTGAATTATATTCATGCCACTTTTATACCACATGTTACATTAAACAAGCTCAAGAAGATGGTAATATGGTGGTAATAAAGGCTGCTTTACTGCTGTAATTTAATGTTCAGTTCAGTTCTTTTTTATTTCAAACATATACATTCACCAACGTTTCATAAAACCATTCCATGCAGTTGTTTGAAAAGGAGTAGGCAGAAGTATATACTTATTTAGCCCTACCCCCTCAGGTTTACATCCTCATCATCTAAATTTGAACAACAAAAACGTATACAACGCCTTCAACTTAGAACATAACATCACAAAAAAAATATTTTCTCATAATGTAACATGGTCAGCAGCGATACTCAGGGAGGCCGCGTTGTTTAAACGCTCAGTTGGCACTAAGAGGTCTAAAGTGTGCCAAGAAAATATCCCCCACACCATCGCACTACCAGCAGCCTGAACTGTTGATACAAGGCAGCATGGATCCAAGTTTTCATGTTGTTTATCCCAAAGTCTGACTCTACCATCTGAATGTTGCAGCAGAAATCGAGACTCATCTGACCAGGCAACGTTTTTCCAGTCTTCTATTGTCCAGTGTTAATGATCCTGTTTGAACTGTAGCGTTAGTTTCCTGTTCTGAGCTG